AGAGAGACCATGTCCATTCCTTGCATTAGCAAGCAATGTTTTCATCCTTTGACCCAAATGTAGGTACGTGGGGGGGGGTGGGTGGGGTGTAGAGTAGTCCTCAAATGATATTCCTGGTTTACTGGGCCAAAGCAACCATGTGATGTCACTTGATTTGGTCCAAGCGTGATTTGTCTAGGAGATGTTTGGTGAGCCAGAGGTAAAACAATATTATAACCTTGACAAGGTCAAATGTTGCATTCAGAAGACTGTATAAAGAAAGTGCCTCCATCTTTACCAACTTCAGTAGGCCATCATTCATGAATGAGGACGGTGATATGGTGGCATGATAAGAGACGACATTACTTGGTCAAACATGTTTCCATGATTACGTAAAAACCTACATTTATGTTGGAATTTTGTTCCTAATCGATATAGTTTTGCTTCCCAATTTGTTCAATCCGCAAAACAAAAATGAAGAGCCGGGTGATGGATTGTGAATTCAATATGCTATGCTCCAAATCCGTCTGATGAATTATCCAGCAAAAAGTGAGTTATTCCTGTAATTAGGTCATCGTGTAAGCCGGGAGGACCTGGCTTATCATGGCCAACCCATGACCGAACGATCACGGGGACGAAGATGGCCAACTTAATGACAAGAGAACCCAGCTAAAGAATCCTCTAAATCATCCAAATTAGGGTAGGGGGGGGTGTGTCGGGGGGTGTTAATAAACAAGATAAGCGGGATTAATAATAAGTAAAACCCGTGCCATGCACATTGTCGTATATTCGTTGCTAGAATAAAGCAAACATTCGTGTATTCGTACACTAATTTGATCGGTAGAGTTCATCTAGAAGTCGTGACACTTTTATTGCGAGCCTGCCGTGCAAAAAGATAAATTTCCATGAGGCAATGTTAAACTTAAACAACAAGACTTTTAAGATCATTATGGAAGAAGTAACAAATATGCTCAAATTCATGTAAATACAGGAGAGATGATTGTTAGGCCTACAAAAACATTGTTCATGGATGGGATATCAACCGGCCTTGACAGTTCGACAACATACCAAATTGTGAAATGCCCGCAACAAGTGGCACATCTCACTAATGCCACAATCTTGATGTCATTGCTGCAATCTGTGCCGGAGCTATTCGATTTGTTTGACGATATCATTCTCTTATCAGAAGGCCAGATTGTGTGCCAGGGACCACGAGAACATGCCTCTAGTTCTTCGAGCGATGCGGGATCAGGTGTCCTGAGACAAAGGGTGCCGCTGATTTCTTGCAAGAGGGAAAAAGGGAAATGAGCAATGATGGGATGCTTAGTTTAATAGCTTTTGCCGCATTGTGTGCTCCAACTTTGAGTTTCATTATATGGTGGAATGATCGTTGGTCAGGTCAGGTCGGTGTTAAGAAATTTCACGTGAATTACTGGTAAATCTGTTCAAACTGTGCTAGACTTAGGCTGCTTTTAAAATCTGTATATTAGGTACAAGTGATGTTATCACGTCATGTGTGGTATCGTCACCCCTATGAATCTGACGGTCTGGCTTGATTTGTGCTACTACAACAGGTTACCTCGAGAAAGGACCAAGAGCAGTACTAGGCAGACAAAACCAAACCGTAGAGGTACATATCAGTCAGCGAGTTCGTGAACAGATTTAAGCAATTTCATTTCGGCATGAAATTCGACAACAAGCTCTCCATCCCGTTCGATAGGAGCAGGAATCACCTATCTAGTCTTCACGAAATACTCGGTCCCTATGATGGAGCTAGTTAAGGCTTGTTTCGACAAGGAACCGCAGCTCATAAAGAAAAATGCGTCCCTGTGCATTTTGACGACCGTCCAGATCATTATCGTGGCAGTCATTGTTTCCATGGTGTTCATCAGGAGCAGGATGCGCTCTCAGAACGAAATGGATGGGCAACAGTATATTGGCGCTCTCCTGTTCTTGATGATCATCAACGAGTTCAATGGTTTTCCTGAGCTGAGCATGGCTATTACGAGATTTAAGTTTTCTACGAGCAGATAGACAACCTCCTTGGACCTTCACATTACCTAATTTCTTGCTGATGGTCATCATGTGCTATTCCATGGGATTTGCACTCAAAGCTAAAGTTGCAGAAGCATCACAGAGCCTTAGCAATATCACCATAAGTTGCAAGGGTCAATTGCTTGTTGCCTGCCCTAAAGTTTTGGGGGAGTTTGCAATGTCCTTCCTGACTTTGGCTCTTCACAGTCTATCCCCAAGAAGTCTACAGATCATTCAATCTAATAAGCTAGTTTCTCACTCAGTTTTAGCCATCAAAGAAATGACATTTCTCAAGAGCTTCTTCCTGATAAAGGAAAATAGCTTAGGTCACTTGGTTCGGAAGAATCGCTTACTGTCGCTTTTCCTACTAGAAGGTATCGCTTTACCTGGAATTCATCACTGTTAGTTAATAGAACAGGCAGACTTTGTATTGGTTTGCAGTTACTTGGGGACGTCACGGCCATATATTGCAAAAGTTGAATCTTCATTGGGGATAGCTGCAATTCTTTCCTTACCTAAGCCAAAATTGCAATTGACCCTGAATCTTACTGCACAATGATGAACTTCGTTAATCACGGTAGACTACAAGGAATGGCGCCTCAAAGTAATGTACTGAATGACCATCCTGTGGTTTTACTACTTGCAGGTTCTTCAAGCAACTTCTGTTGATATTCTTGATCCAACAAATGGCTGCTGGGCTATTTCGATCCAAATTGTAATCCATGTATATTAATGAATTATACATGAGCCGTATAGGCTTTACCAGGCCCACGTTCTTTCTACTCCCTTATTGGCTCCCGACACCCTCCCTACATATTTAATTGATTATGTTATCCCTTGGGGGTCCTACACTTGAATTACAATGATTTTTTTACCTTTTTTCTTCTTTTTCCTTTTGTTTCAATTTTTCTAGAGACGGAAGTACCCATGTTCCTCTCAAATAACATTTATTAAGATTAAATGCTGGTCCATTCTTGATTTAATATTATTTCTTGCCTTCTTTTCTTCTTTTTTGGTTTCTTCCTTTTCTTTCTCCATTTGGAACAAATTGGCGTCACTCTTTTCCAAAAAAAAAATTATTTAGTAGATAGCTAACTAATTATTATGTTTTCGACAAAAAAAGTAATTATTATGTTAACGAGTTGTACATTCTCTTTTTTTGTACTAGGAAACTATTATTAAAATAATAACCTAAGCACAAATAAAAAGCATCATCTACCAATTTTGAGTACGCATTTCGTTAATTTTAACTTTAATATGCGTCATTAGGATGTAGTTTGTGTATTTTAACTGCTCTACTTACATTTTATGAAGTGAATCTAATAGTCCAATGTTTAATTATTTTTATGCCATCATAGCATGATGTTTTAAAAGATACTTTAAAAAAAAAAAAGTAAAAATATGACAGAGTTGAGTACATAAATAAATTCTAAACATCCATTATTATCATGCAAATGCAAAAGAAAATGCTCCCTAAAACATTATTACATATAATGCTGACTATATCTGTCTTGGTTACTTCGTATAATTAGCTGTTGAAAAAAAATTATGGCCATTGTAACGGCATTATAAGACAACCCATTCAAACCATTTGCAAACACATTTTTTGGTCAATTCCAAATGCATTAGCATTTTCACAAAATCCTCAATGAAAAGAAAATTATCCTCCAAATACAAATATACTGCAATAATAACTAGTTGCGAATGCAACTTAACAAAAGATATTGTGTGTGGCTCCCCTCAAAAAGGTTACTCTCTCGGAAAAAAACTATTTTACTTGAATCAGATAATAAAAGTTTTTTTAATTACATCAATAAGAGAGTCATTAATCACTTAACATTATATATATAAAGGAATAACTTTCAATGTTATAGTGCGAGAAGCTCCAAATGAACTTGTTGACGTGATTAATTGTCATTCTCCATTTACAATTTCATCATCGATAGATACATTTAAACAATTTGGGTGTTCTTCCATATTGTCTTCCATAAAAACAATACAATGAAAGATGAGTAAATATTGTATAATGCATTCATCGAACACAATATTCAATCTATGAGTAAATTCTCGTAAATTTGTACCGAAAATCGAAGTTGAAAAATTCACGATTGTGAGGCAAAATAAAGTTAATAATTGGCTGAATAAGTTTAGAAGAAGACAAACATGAACAAAGATTTAGAATGTAATGAACGCGGAAGAAGCGGCCAGGGTGAAAAAAAATTGTTTGAAAGAAAGTGGGTAATTTTGTCTTTTCATAAAATTGAAACAAAAGAAAAAGACGAACAAATGTATTGAGAGTGGGACCCGCAATGGATAATATAATCAATTCAATGTGATAAGGGGGCATCAGGAGCCAATAAAGAGATGTGTAGTCAACTCAATATTATAAGGTGTCAGGCAAGCCTTACAGAATTGTTATTTTAGTAACATATCACGAGATTTCGATTTAGGAGATATATAGATTTAGGGAATATTTCTAACAAATCGAAATGGTGGAATTGATTCGGATTTAAATTTAAGCAATTAAGGTTCCAGAATCAATATATATAGAATTAGGTAATATTACAATTTACAGAACGATTTACAGAAGGATACGAGGGTTGGTGAACGACTAGCCAGACACCGTAAGGGCTATTCCGTGGCCAAAGAATCACCCTTCCGTCTTCAAGATAAAAATGGGTGTAGTCTTTAAATAATTAAACAAAAAAGCATAGTTATTTAAGAAGTGACTACTTGAATAATATATACGGCGCGGGTAGCTCGAAGCTAAGGGCCATGCCCGAGCGCGAGCAAAATACATAGAGAGATATCAAAATAGAAATTCTGAAAGTTACTGTAAAATAAAGTCAACATATTAGAGTGCGAAAAGCAGCTCCCTTATGTTTTTTTTTTTTGTAATTTTGCCTTAAATTAATTTAACTACTCTTCAACAAATAACTATGGTGTAAGATTGATTTGGGACAAATGCATGTGAAAACAGCTCCTCATCAAACGCCTTGATCCGCCGTGGATCCTTTCTCAGCCGTGGACTGATTAGTTTCCCCAAATCCACCGTCCCCGCGGGAGTCGAGCACTCCTATTATATTCTCAATTTCCTTGAGCGGATACTCGGTATCGAAGATCTCCGAGCCCACAAACACACCGTCGCAGCCCAATTGCATGAGCAGTAACGCATCGTCCGCGGTCGAGATTCCTCCCGCAGCAAAAGTCGGGACCGGAAGCCTCCCCTGTCTCTTGGTCTCCACCAAGAGATCAAACGGCGCGTCGATCCTTGCAGAGAAGTGGCGGAGCGCGCACCCATTCATGTCTCTCAGAGACTCAACATCGCGCATCACGGACCTCAGATTGTTCACGGTCTTAGCAATATGGCCTGTTCTCGAGGTCTCTCCCTGAATCCTAATCATCACCGCACCTTCTCCGACTCTCCTTAACGCCTCGCCGAGGTTTTGACAACCGCAAACGCAAGGAATTCCGAGCTCATGCTTGTTCAAGAAGTTTTTCTCGTCGGCGACACTGAGAAGCTCGCTCTCGTCGATGAACTGACATCCGATCGATTCCAATGCATCTGCCTCAGGAGTATGCCCAATGCGAACCCTAGCCATCACCGAAATTGGTGAGAGGCAGTTCATGATTTTCATGATCAAATTGCTGTATGAAGTGCATCGGCCGCCCGACGGAGACGGCGTCGCCACGAGGACGCAGCGAGCCCCGGCGAATTTGGCGAGGAGGGCCTCATCGTAATCCCTGACTTCGATAATGGCGCTTCCGCAAAGCTTTGACCGAGCAACTAAGACCTTGGTCTCCAAGGATGGCGACATGGTTCTCTGAGTTAAGAAGAATAATATGCCAAAGACAGAAATATGGAATTTTATGTAGGTTTCCACTCATCATACTGAAGAGCCCTATTTATAGATTTTATGATATGAATATCTAAGATAATAGATCAATCAAGATTTGCACAATCAAAATGAGATATATGCGCAATCTTGAGCGATGGAATCAATAGAATTATCATAAATATCATATAGAATTATCCTAATTATCGGATTCAACGGTTAATATGCTTTACTTTTAGAATCATTAATTGTCCATATGTACATGTGGGGGGCAAAATTCCAAATAAGGACCTGCAGTGTCATTATTTTCTCAAATAAAGGCCTGAAGTGGACATTATTTCAAATAAGAGCCTAAAGTGGCCAAGATAGTTTCAAATAAGGGTCTAACCCCACTGGCCGGCTCAATATTCCTGCCGGTGAAGGATATTTTCGACCAAAGAAAATTTTAACATAAATTCTAATTAAATTAGATTAAAAATTAGAAAAGCTGAAAAATTAAAAATAAGATAAATACAGGCGAGAGGGCTGGGTTTATTTTTTTTTTTGTGTGGTGTTTTCGTCTTCTTCTTTTTTATGTTTTAGCCTTTTTCTTTTTTGATTTTGCCTCTTCTATAGAAAGAAAAAGACAGAAAAAGGAAAAAAGAAAAAAAAACAGGAAAGAAAATCAAAAAAGTAAAGGACGCAGGTTTTTCTTTGATACCGACATGACCACTTTAGGCAAAAGCCCTTATTTGAAATTTTCCCTAGGTGAGGGAGCGTGATGGTAATCTTTTTGGAAAGAAGCAAAGGCAAGTTAGTCGGTTGACAAATAACAGTTGGCATGCCTAAATAGCTTTCGAGCTGGTGCGCTCTCAAAGTGTTACTCTTCTTGGGTTGCAATGAAATTCATTATGGATCTCATTAACAAGGTATCGACAATTATTTATTCTTGATAAAATAACAAAAATGATCCCTTAATTTTAGCCCGATGTGTAATGTCGTCTCTAAATTTTTAATTTGTTTACTATGATTTATAAACTTTAGCCCATTGTATAATGTCGTCCCTAAGTTCTCAATTAGTTCAATGTAATCCTTAAACTTTTGATACATACTCAATCTAGTCCCTGGATTATATGAAAATATTCAATATTGTCCCTGAACTCGAATTAATGGAAAGACAGTATTGATCATTTTTATATAGTCTCGAGACCAACTTGAATATGTATCAAAAGTCCGGGGATCATATTGAACAAATTAAAAGTTCAAAGACGACATTGCATATTGGATTAAAGTTTAAAAACTATATTAAACAAATTAAAAGTTCACGGATCACGTTATATATTGGATTAACGTTTATGGGCCATTTGTGTTATTGTCCCTTAATTCTTCACGTAACTTTTTTTGCCACTTATCTCACGACGAGAATAGCTCGAGTGAGATGGTTGATTAGAGGACTTTGCCTTGTACTTCTTTGAGTACTCTATGTAACTACTAAGTTTAGGGTTCTAAATTTTTCACACGGGTAAATAATAATTTCTCTGTTAATACTCACAAGAGGCAACTACTTCATCATGAATAAAAACTACTCGAGAACAATAATTGTGAACACATTGGAAGATTTGGGATAAGTGCATATGTATAAGTGCGTGTGCGCATGTGCATATATATCCCCTGCGTGAAAGCCAGGGCATATTAGCTGCTCTCCCCGCCCCCTTCCTTAATCTGAATATATTTCCTGAGCTCTTCTGGGGTTGGGAATGGCATAAATAGCTGTAAATAACCGGTCCATTTCCTTTGTTTCGTGGCTTTCGGTTTCTTATATATGTAGCTGCCGCAGTCATCAATTTTTATTTTATGGATATTTCCGGGTTGCCTCGTCCGGGAAATGCTCAGCTTCTGGTTTTGGAAGAGCTCTCTTTAGTTAGAAGATCACGTGCAATTGTGTGGACTTGAGATCATTCATTCCTTTTACATTGCTTTTGTCTTTGCAACTTAATTAGGACTCTGGTTGCTATGGTGGTGGTGGTTGTGGTGGTGGAGGCCAGGGATGAAGAATGTATCTGAGTGCCCAGAGGGGCTATATCGGAGGGAATGAGTTCTACATGGAGCTTCCAACACCCCCCACAAATTCAAGGTCATCAAGCCAGAGAAAGAATGGGGTGAACTCCCCAAGCGAGTCCAGTCCTTGGCTCCTGGATCTACACTCCTTTGATGCCGAACTTCTTCCTGAGGTGGGCTTTCCATCATCCGTAAAAATGTTGCACTTCACTGGGGGCTTTGATTTTTGCCTAAGAGCTTAGTTACATCTTGCATCATTAGTTATTACAGTAAGTTCGGGGTACTCTTTTCTAAAATATCCTCTTGTAACATTGTATTGGCAGAAATTGCTCGAGTATTGAGATAAGAATTGGTCGCTTTCACATCGCACCTCTTTGAATTATCAATCCAGTTATCTCAGACGCGGTGCCATAATGATGTAAAACTTTCGAACTGGGAGATTATACTTGGAAGACTATCATTTCAATTGAACAATTTCATCGTGTGTTCATCATTGGAACAGATGCCAGTTTCTAGCCTTCAGGATGGCCCTCCTATATATCTCATCCTCGTCGTAGAAGCTTTGATGATTCCTAACCATACATGCGAAACAACAAACAGGCTGGCAGAGCCCGTGCCCCTCCCGAGAATAACCAGTCGAAAGGTTTTGCTGCAGACGAGGATAAAGCTAGTTCTGTTGCAAAGATCAAAGTTGTGGTGTGTCTTCAACTCATTTTATCTATTTCCTCTATTTGGAGCCAAACCAATTTGTAGCACCTGTAAATATATGCTAGACGATAGGATTATTGCAAGTTGACAAAGTTCATATTTGCTTTTCTAGGCTAGAACATTGTTCTTGACTCTTCCACTGTATCTCGTTCGTGTAATATTTTCTGCAGGAAGCGGAAAAACTTACCCTACGAAACCATTGCCCCTTAAAGCATCGCGTGACGTTGAGGTTGATGAACCACACGTACCGCAACCAGGGCTTTCAACTATTTGTCAGCTTCTTCGAAATATACGGAGGAAAACTATTTGATCTTCTGAGCGATCGGAAGTAAGCTCCATTTGTTCTTCTGCTGATTTATCTTGCATTTCTGGAATAAAAATATCCTTAAAGAGTTAATAGCTTTGCTTATACTTTTGCTGGAAACTCTGTTGAAAGCGGATGGGAGGCAGCAAGTATGCATGGTAGGTTTACAGGAGTACAAAATATCTGATGTGGAGACAATCGAAGAACTGATTGAGAAAGGAAGTGCGACTAGAAAAATCGTCCCGATCTCAAGCCATACTTCAGCTTGCCATCAAGAGGTCAATTGATGGCAGTGAGTCAAAACCTCCCCGTGTTGTGGGCAAGCTCTACTTCATTGATCTCGCAGGAAGTGGACGTGGTGCTGATACTGCCGACAACGACAAACAGACAAGGTAGTTTACCCTCTGTTTCATGCCACATGTTAAGATGTCCTCTCCTTTAGACAATTATTATCAAGTCATTGAGCGTGTATGGACACAGAAAAGTGACATCGCTCAACTAGTCTATCACATTAACGCAATATATGTGATATTCAGATGGCATGAAATGATGATCGAATAAAAGTCGATATTTGAATCGTTGCACCAATTGTTAAAGAGCGGCTAAAAATCTCAAATTACATTCGAAGAACCAAATCCAATGGGAATGGCGACTGTCCGACTACAAATTATTTAGGTCCATGTGTTGTATGTGTTTAATTTTCGGTGTCCTGTCGAATTGACTCTGCTCACGAGATCTATAGGTTATTTTTAGTGTGCTCGTTGAAGTGATTCGCCGTCACCAATGTAAAAATGCTTATGTTATATTCTCGCCATCCTATTTTGAGATAAAAGGAAAATACCGCCTGTTTATTAGCACTGTCCATCTGCCAAATTGTGGATAAACTTTTCTGATGTGATCATTGTGCTGGAGAATGTTGTTCCATTTCGTTGTTGTATTGGCTGCTTTAGACGTATGAGCAGAGTGGAAGGTGCAGAAACCAATAAGAGCCTACTCGCGCACAAGGAATCCATTAGAGCTCTGGACAATGACCGGGGTCATATTCCTTTCAGAGGCAGCAAATGAACCGAAGTTCTCAGGGAATCCTTTGTCGGCACCTCTTGCACTGTCACGATATCCTGCATTACTCCAAGTTCCGGTTCTTGTGAGCATGCTCTCAATACCTTAGGATATGCTGACAGTTAAAATATCTAAGCAGAGACTTGCGGCTTGTAAAGGTCATGCGGTTGTTTTCAATCGATTATAGCTTCCTACAAATTGTTCTCCAGGGAGAAGAGCCTCTCAAAAGGAAACAATCCTAAGAAGGATGTACTATCTTCAGCTACAAATCTGAAAGAATCAACTTCCTTACCTTTGTCATCTTTTGCATCAAATGCTTCCAACTTTGAGGAAGATATAATCACCTCTTGGCCAGAACAAACAGGAGGAGATGATTATGATGTGTCTGAAGAATTTTATAAACCAGAGAGAGCACAGTGGAAGAGGAACAATGGGAAAGTCGAGTCTTCGAATCGCACTGCTCCAGAAGAAAAACTACCGAAATCTAATTTCGACAAAGTGGAAGGACCAGCAGAGATCGGATGCTAATAACTCTCATTTTAGTGATGACTTGGACGCTCTGTCACAGGTAAGTGCACTGTAACAGTTATGCTCGACTACTGATAACAGTGCCTCCTCTATGGTCCAACCCATGATCCATATCACTCGTGTTTATCATTTCCAACTCTTTCATCCTCTTTGCCAGCACTAACCCTCCTGCATCTACTCTCTCTGTTTCCTCTGTTCTCGCAGACTATGAACCAACTACTTTCTTCTCCTTCTTCTCCTCCTCCTCCTTCTGTCTTTCCTCTCTCTCCTTCCATTTGTCACTTTCTCACCACTTCGTTTTTCTAGCCAGACATAGGACCACAGATTGCCTAGAAAAAATTTATCAATCACAGTTGCGTGGAATGGCTCCATGTGAATGCCATATGATCCAAAGGTGCAGGACGAAGATCATGCTTGAATCAAACTTACTTATTTTAGATGGCACATCTTGATCTTGTGCCAAAGAAAAGGGCAACGGTGTCGCAGTAAGTGGGGTATTAATGCTAGCCTTTACTGAAGAAGCAAAAAATATCCAGAGAAAACACTGAGCTTACTGATTGCTGCAACCAAACACACGAGCATCGTGCTAGAATCTTCGACGATTCTCGAACATTACATGCGAAACAACAAATTCGTAGCCAAACCAATTCTATACAGTTTCATCTATATGGGCAAATCTGTTGCCAAAAACCAGTCGATATATGCTAGAGTATCTAACCTATTTGGAGCCAAAGATACCTGTCAATCAACACGTCACACTTGCCAAGCATGCTGAACAGCATCCATGATTTTGGCCACCTTCATGTAGGCATTCGTCTCGTTAAGGATCTGCGAGTTTATGAAGACGCCGTCGCAGCCCAGGCGGATCATCAGCGCTGCGTCGGCCGTAGTGGCAATCCCTCCGGCAGCAAACTGTAGAACCGGAACCCTCCCCTGCCGCTTCGTCTCCAGCAAGAGATCTGGTGGAGCGGCTATCTTCCGCGCGTGCGCGCGGACCTGGGACTCGTTCATGCCGGCCAAATCACTGATCTCCCGGGAGATCGATCTGACGATCTTCACCGTGTCTGCGAACTGGACAGACCTATCCGATTTCCCCTGCATCCGGAGAATCTGAGCCCCTTCCTCCACCCTCCTCAAGCCCTCAGCAAGGCTTTTACAGCCGCAGACGAATGGAATCGAGAGCGCATGCTTGTCGATGAACGTTTCGTCGACGACGCCGAGGACCTCGTTCCCGTCGAGGAAATCAACCATTCCGAACTTTTGTATCTCCTCGGCTTCGGCAAAGTGGCCCACACGGACCTTCAGCATCAACGGAAGGGAAGCGATGGTGCTCCGGAGGTGGCTGATCAGAGAGTAATCGACCACCGCGTGGTCGACGGGAGGGGCGAACAAGACCGCGCTAGCATTGCCGCGTCCCACTTGCTCCGCCTGCTTCACACTCTCGACTTCGAAAATGGCGGCGCCGCGGAATGTCCCCTGCCTCACTTGGAACTTGGAACGGAGACGGAGCCTTTGGATATCCATGGAGGCGGCGACGGACGGACCTAGGGGACGAGACTTCGGTTTTTGAGGGAAGAGGAAACAGAGAGGGAAGAGGAGACTGCACCAAAGCGAGCTTACCTACGACTCCGGCGAAGGGCGGAGGCGACGGCGCCGGCGACGGCGGAGGGCTGCTCAGTCGCGGAGAGAGCGGATGCGACTTCGGTCGGGAGGGAGGGAGAGCGGAGCGGAGCGGAGAGGAGTGTGGAGAGTGTAGAGTGAGGAGGGAGGGAGGGAGGGAAAGAGGGAAGACAAGACTTTCGAACGCGTGGGACAGCTCACATCAACACGTGTCGTGCTGACACGACAGGAGTCTGTAACAGATTTTGATTTGTTCGAGAAACTTCCCACCGACTCCGGAGATATGATCGTCCGTTTGCTTCCTCACCCTCTCTGTCGGAGAAATGCCCTTCTTAAAATTATACAGTTGGTGACCGTCTGATCAATTTGATCAGACGGTCACATTTTACCACATTTATGAAGGCTTAAAGGCATAAGCCTTTAGTCAATGTTACGGACATTTTTTTATTTCCATTTTTTTTTGGGGGCAAAAAGATTAATGAAATTTAGTGCAAACAGGCTTGCGAGGTCTCTCCACTACTAATCATAACATCTTCCCGTCGCGCCGATATAAATTTGGAGTTTTTTATATCAAAAAAAAAAATTAAAGTAATTGTATCGGACATAATTCAAGATTTTTCATAACTCTTTCCCTTTTTATTTATTTTTTAAACAAGCGAAGCACGCTTGCTTGACTTGCTTGATTTGAATCAAGGGCGAATTCTCTTTGCTTCCCAATCTTTTTCATGAAATCGACTTTAAGAAGAAAGGGTCCTTAAATTGCCCAATGGCAAAAGAGTCGCGAGTTCAATTTACATAGCGAACGAATCTACTAAAGACTCGTGCTGTATTGCCTAATCGGGTCGTATTTTGTGTGGAGAGACTTCTTAACCGTCGGCATCTCGGTCGGGTTGCATCGGCAATATCACTAATTTTTTCGCACTTCAAATCGCGAGCGTCGGGAGAATAGTAATTAGAGGTTCAGATCAAACATTCTGTAGCGGGCGAGGGATCTTCGTCGTCATGCTCCCATTTGGCCCTTTTTTTCGCTTGTCAAACCATCTTGATTTACCGATTCCATTGTTATCCACTAAACTTAAAGAGAGCCACAAAACAATAAAAAGGTTCAAGGTTCCAGTCATTTGACTTAGCGTAATTCAGAGTGGTAAAAAATATCACACTTTACAAACGATATCCTGACCGCGTGATCCTCCACCTTGGCCCCCGGTCCCCACCCGCTCCTCCTAGTCAGCCCGTACATCCTGACCGTCCATTCCCCTCCTCCCCGTGCCGATCGCGGCCTTCACCAGCCTCGGCACCGCCTTCTTGTCGCCCCCACTCCGATGGGGCCCTCCCGCTCCAGCTCCTCCGCCAGCGCGTTGATCTCCTCCCCCATCCCCTGCCTCAGCAGGCGTAGAGGGAGAGCTCGACGGGCCGGTGCTCGGATCGGACGATGGCCAGGACGTGGAGGGCGAGGGCGCACCGGACCCGCCGGAGGAGCTCGCGGAGGGCGGCGAGGAGGTCGGACTTGAGGTAGTGCGTGAGGGAGCGGCGGAGGTGGGAGGGGAGGGCTGTGGCGGCCGATGCAGGGTCGGCCCAGTACGCGCGCTTGATGGACTAGACGGCCTGGATTGCCTCGGTGCTGAGGGTGCGGCCCTTCACGAGGCGCCCACAGTTGTCTCTGGGGCCGCACCTTACGGGAAGACGGCCGCCGCTGCCGCCGGCGGCAGGACAGGGTTTGCGCGGTGGCGAGTTGAGGGAAGTTGGGGATGGAGTGGAGAGAGAAGGTTGCGGTCACGGTGGTTTCAAGAATGTTGTTTACTCCATCTTCGTAATTAGCAAAGCCCAAACTTCCAACAGGCGCATCTCCTCCCTCCTCAAGAAAGAAGGCCAGATCCTGTCGATCGCCATGTCGAGTAACCTGATCTACATGGGATCCGAGCGGCACGTGATCAGGGTCTGGAAGCTACCGGAGCTTGTAGGGTGCGACCGGACCGAGGCCTCCATGGCGGTCGTGCCGGCAGTGTCAAACGACTGGGTTTACGCGGCGTTTTCCGACTTCGAGATTCGAGCGTGGCGGAGTGCTTGGGACGGGAGATCGAAGCATGTCCGGCTGGGGACGATACCGAAGACCGTGGGCTATGTCCGAAGCTACATCGCCGGGTAAGATACGATGGTAAATGCATGATATATCTCAATCTCTCCTGATATGCACGTTCTCGCGGACGTTGAGTATTTAGTATATTGCCTCGAGTCCATGACCGATATACCTCCCGCTTCAGCTCCTCCGCCAGCGCGTCGATCTCCTCCCCCAGCGCGTCGATCTCCTCCCCCATCCCCTGCCTCAGCAGCGCCGACGCCACGTCCGCGCAGAGGGAGAGCTCAACGGGCCGGTACTCGGATCGGACGACGACCAGGACGTGGAGGGCGAGGGCGCACCGTACCTGCCGGAGGAGCTCGCGGAGGACGGCGAGGAGGTCGGACTTGAGGAGGGGCGCGAGTGAGCGGGCGGAGGTGGGAGGGGAGGAAAAGGCCGTAGCAGATGCGGCGGGGTCGGCCCGGTACGCGCACTTGAGGAGGAACTAGATGGCCTGGATCGCCTCTCCATGGGCGGCACTGAGGTTGCAAAGGAGAGCCCAGAGATGGTCATCCTGGATGACAATTTCGCCTCTGGCGCGACTGTGCTGAGGTTGGGGCGGTGCGTCTACAGCAACATTCAAAAGTCCATCCAGTTTCAGCTCACGGTGAATGGGGCCGCCCTCGTCATCAACTTCGTTGCTGCTGTGTCCCTTAAGGCGATGTCCCTTTGACGGCGGTCCAGCTTCTTTGGGTGAACTTCGAGTATGGACACCCTGGGAGCATTGGCGATGGCCACCGAGCAACCCCCGCCTATTGGACGAACCGAGCCGCTTATCAACAGTGTCATGTGGAGGAATCTCACATCCCAGGCCTTGTACCAAGTTATCATCCTCCTGACCCTACAATTCAAGGGGAGTTCCATCCTTGGAGTGGACAAGAACGTGAGGGACACGATTATTTAACGCTTCATCCGCTGCCAGGTCTTCCACGTATTGAACGCCAGGAAGCTGGCGGACAAGAGTGTATTCAAAGGCATAAATAATAACAAGTTGTTCTTGGGCATCGTCAGCACGACCATAATTCTTCAGGTGGTGATGGTGGAGTTTCTGAGCAGGTTTGCCGACACCGAGAGGCTGGAACTCATATAAATGTCGTAGACAAGCCATGTCGGATATGGAGTAGGATTCCGACGCCTTGTTAGGATTTTTAATCCAAAAGTTTAAGCTAATAATAATAAGTGGAGGTAAATCACTTGTATATAAGAGTACATAAAGCCTATAAATAAGCGATGTAGAACACTTTTATGCACGCCACTTTCTCCTTCTTCTTTTTTCTCTCCTACCCGGATCCATCAATCCTCAAAACGCATATGAGCTATATGCATTCACAATGGAAGCAAACAACATGGCAATAAAAAACCTAAAATTGAGTCAACGATATGAGTTATTTTTTCTTTGGTCAAAGGAACGATATGAGTTGTCGAATCAGAGGGTTGGTGGTGCTCACGAGGCTGGCCATTTTCTTTGCTCATGTTCATCAACATTGCTGGATGATATCACTAAATAATAATAAAAGATTGTTATAATTCATCATGATCAATTTTTATGCAATATCTACTATGGTTACGTATCTTCATGGCAAAAATGAAGAAAAAGAAAATGAGAAAGAACCCATGTAATTGCATGACACTGTTTCCGGACATTGTTATTTATCATTAGTAAAAATGGCTGAGAAAACTATGGCGAAGTTTAAATTAGAGTAAAATGGCAAGTATTTGAAGCATTTTATTTGCATCCTATTAAAATTGAAAGTGAACTTACTTATTAATCCTGTTTCTGAACTTCCTCAAGAACCTCTCATTATCTTCTTCAGCCACTTGGAAGATCCTATCAATGAACTGCTGCCTATCATTCAGGTCCATCTTCTTCACATCCACCACCATCTTCTGTTCACGGTTCTGCTCGTCATTCTCGACGAAAGTTTGGAAGATGCTTGTCCGTAGCCGGTCGTACGTCGGCAATCTCTCGATTGCAGCCCATTTGAGAGCCTCTTCGTCTTCATCGATGCGGCTCGTCCGTCTCGATTGCCTAGAGCCCGCGAACACGTCTTCCATGCCCCAGTTAGTCCCGCTCATGCTCCTGCTCATGCTCCTGCTTATGCTTCGGCTCATGTTTTGGCTCCTTTGCTTCCACGACCGCGCCCGTTCATATCCCTCCATATTTCCTAGCACTGTTCCTCTTCTTCTTATATTCTTATTCTTGTTCTGTATCAAGTCAACAGTAGCAAAATCTTCATGGACAAATTCTAATTAATAGACAAAGCTGGTATGCTAACTTTAAATTTTGAAGGAACACACATATGACAAAATGAGTCATGCTTAGTGCTGCTAGTGCAAAGTTGAAGCTCATGAAAGAAAGCAAGCGTGCCTATCAGCAAAACCATTGTAAATAAAATAACAGAAATCTTCACCTCAAATTCTTGAGAAGAGCTTATGAGGCCAAGGCGCTGCTCAAAGATCAAAACGAAGCTACTTCTTCTTCTTTAGAGAGAGGGAGAGAGAGCGAGAGAGAGATGGAGATGATGGAGGTCTATAAACTAATGCGACTATATATTATGCAAGAGGCGCCCTTTATGCATTCACATGTATAAATGACCAATGAAAGTATGTGATACTCAGTACTTACACGCCTTGGCTTGATCAACGATTTCCGTTAGCGCGAGAGACTTTGCCCATTCCTTGCATTAGCAAGCAATGTTGCCGCCTAAAACTATTAAACGGGTCAATCCTTCATCCTTTGACCCAAATGTAGGTGGGGGCGTAGAATGGTCCTCAAATGATATGCCTGGTTTACTGGGCCAAAGCAACCACGTGATGTCACTTGGTTTGGTCCAAGCGTGATGTGTCTAGGAGATGTTTGGTGAGCCAGAGGTTAAACAATATTATAACCTTGACAAGGTCAAATGCTGCATTCAGAAGACTGTATAAAGAAAGTGCCTCCATCTTTACCAACTTCAGTAGGCCATCATTCATGAATGAGGACGGTGATATGGTGGCATGATAA